GGTCACCAGTCAGGAAGATGGTCACCAGTCAGGAAGAAGGCCACCAGCCACGAAGAAGGCCACCAGTCTGGAAGATGGTCACCAGTCTGGAAGATGGTCACCAGTCTGGAAGAAGCTACCAGTCAGGAACACCTGTACGTGTAGGGACAAGTGAAATTAAGAACATGTCAAAGTTTTGTAACATTTAAGATTTTGTTGTAAAACACTGAATTTTTAATGTTGATAAAATGAGAACAAAACATAAAACTCATCAACTGGATGTTGATTTGTTTGGAGTTGCTTTCATGAGTTTAAAAATGACTAAAACAACAGAGAATTGTAAAAATGTATAAGGTCATTTTATTCTAATTACCGATAAGTCTTTTTTTTTTTTTTAAATTAACCTCGAGTTAAACTCAGTATTCGGACAGATCCAAATGTTAATATTTTTGTTTAAAGTTGAAACGGTTTGTTTAAATTATCCTTATTTTCACTTAATCTCCCACAATTTCCATCTTCTCCAGTTTGGACAGAACTCTGCGTTTCTTTGGCGTCTGACACGAGCTTACTGCGACGTCCACGACGTCTGCTTCTCGCTGGAGGAGAAGAAAAGTCACGCAGAAAAAGGTTCGTGAAGAAATCTGATTTAACAGCTCATTTGTGAGTCGCTGGTATTCTGCTGTCACGCTGTATTTAAATTGAATTTACAAGGGTCAAAACATTTAACAAGTGACGACTAAATAACATTTATTGGACTTTATTGAAACGTTTCAACAAAGAATCCGTCCAGAGGACATGACCTTGTTAGATTTATCTACCAGGATTATTGAGCAGCATCAGGACACGATGCATTTTGGCTTTAAAGGTGAGAGAGTTGCCGCGCGCTAGCATAGTTCATGCTACGTTGCTGTCATCTTATTTTTTATTCTAGTAGGAACTAGAGAAACGGCATTTCCTGCAAAAAGGCAGTGTGAATGTTTATTGCTGAAGAACTTGCTGAAAAACAGCTGAAATTACCTAAAAACAAGTTGAAATATAGCTGAAACAGAAGACCAAGCCTAAGTTAGCAGAAGAAATCAGAAATAACACGTTTGCTGAATTAAGTTTAATTAAGCGGAAATTAGAAGAAAAATTTGAAAATTGTCTAAAAAGCTGAAATTAGCTAAAAATAGATGAAAAGCAGCTAAAAAAGCAGAAGCTTAAACTACCAAAAGGAATTGGAACGAGCTGAAATTAGCACAAAAAAGAATGGAATTACCCGAAAAAGCTAAATTTAGCGAAAAACACCTAAATACTAGCCGAAATAGCAGAAAAAGCTGAAACTTGCAGAAATCAGCTGAAAGGAGCATAACAAGCTGAAATTAGCAGAAAGAAGTTAGAAGAAACACAAAAATGTTGTTAGCAGAAAAAATTTGAAAGGAGCACAAAACTGCTGAAAACAGCTGAAATTAGCTGAATAAGTTTAAATTTGCAGCAGGAAGTTGAAAGAAGCTGAAGCAGAACAAAATATGAAAAGAGCAGAAAAAAGCTGTAAACGGATCTAAAGATTTGAAGGGTGGAAAATGAGCTCAATTCATTTTCTATGAGGAAAAAATGGCAGAAAAGGCTAAAATATTTCAAACAGCTAAAGCTGCACCAATACCAGAAGTCGGAGCAGGATTGTCCTGAAAGAGCCGAACGTTTTGATTTATGATGTGTTGAAATAGCTGAAAACGGTGGGACGAGAATCGTGCTGAAAAACGTACGGAAGAAAACTGTCTGACAGTAAAGTGAACGCTTCACTCCGTGGCTGTAACAGTCAGCTGATCAGTGTTCTTGTTGTGAATTCTATTTAAACTGAGACTCAAATGTTTCTTACAGAAAAACAGTTTTTGAATCTCATCTCATTGTTTTGTAATTGTCCACACACAGGCGTGCTAGCTTAGCGTAGCATGAGATTGTGTACCATTGTTGCTGCGTAACTTTTGTTATCGTGGTGTTTATGTTTCAAAGTTCGAGCTGCGAATGTTTCGATTTGAGCGTTAAATCAGCGTCGACCTGTTGGAGATCAGCTGCGTACACCAGACTGTCAGAATGAGGAGGCCATGTTCTCCACCTTATCTGTACACGGGTCCCAGAGACAACGGGTTTAGGAGAGAAACCCAGACCTCCCACTCCCCAGGGACCCTCTCCAGCTCCTCCTGGGGGACCCCGAGATGTTCTCAGACCAGAGAGGGTCCCTCCAGAGATTTTTGGGTCTGCCCTCCAGGAAGCACCCGAATCAGATGAACCACCTCAACTGACTCCTTTCGATGCAGAGGAGCAGCGGCTCCACTTCGAGCTCCCCCCAGGATGATGGAGCTCCTCACCCTGTCTGTAAGGCTGAGTCCCCCCCACCACCACATGAAGGAAGTGTACAGGATCTGGTTCTATCGGTCCTGATCCAAACTCCTCAACCACAGGTGAGGGTTGGAGCGTAGACAGACCAGTAAATCCAGAGCTTTGTCTTTCGACTCAACTCCATTCACTATGACCAACCGAAGCAACACTCTCATTACTGAGGTTGAGGCCTCGATCTGTGGATCCATCTCCATCACTCGGGAACAAGACACCCAGATACCTGAACTCCTCCACGTGAGGCGCAGACGCCCTCTGATGTGAAGTCATTCTCTCTCAGCCGTGTAACTCGATACGCCACAGAAACACGAGACAAACACGTAAAAGTGACTTTTACAGGATATTACTGCAACACACTGGACCTCAGCACACCTGGTACCGTCACCTGCGTGTATCAGGGTTCGCACGGAGTCGAGAAAATTCAATAAATTTTAATAAACAGTTTTTACACTTTCTGCTAACACGCTCTGGATGTTTGGAAAAATAAATCAATTATTGAAAAACATAATTTCCAGACCTGTTGTAGTGTCTAAAACTTTATTTACGTTTCAAAGAGTTGCTCTAAATATATTTATTACATTATAAATAAAAACTGTCACCACAATGTCCACTTTCTGATGGCCAGAAATATGACTCTTTCTCTCAAAATGAAATGTACATTATATTTTCCCACAGCTTGAAATAAAACAGCTTTTATGAAAGAAATGAATCTTTATTTGTTTTAAGAAGACCTTTGACCTTCTTGTTGTAACATTAAAATAATCACAATAGATTTACAGGTGCTTCCATGTCAGAAAAGGATCAAATTGGACCAAAACAAATCTAAAAATGTGCGCGTGATAGTTTTACACCAGATGTTCGTTCATACTGAAAATAAAACCTTAATTGTTAAAACTCTTTTGTACCTGAGGACAGCGCACCTTTCATGGGACTTCTTGTTTCATCGACTTTGATTTTTGTCTGCGAACAGTTTCATCAGTTATTCTGGATTAACCTGTTCCTCTGCACTTTAATCCTAGTCTGTCTCTAATCAGAGCTGCCCAGGTGCTTTCTGGGTAATAAACAGACCATGTCAGATACGTGGATTATTTTAAGTTTTATCAGTTAACACTAGAGCCCGACTGATATGGAAATTTTGGCCATTACCAATACAGATATTGGGAGGGGAAGGCTAATGCTGATAATCAATATAATGGCAGAAAAATTTTGAGCTTTGTCCACCCCCCAAAAATCTCAGTCAACAGCTGCTTTAAACCAGTTTTAACACTCGAAGACTTGAAACAATCGTCTTAACGTGTGTTCACATTTTGTATCCTCCACTATTCAACATAAAGTTATCAAGTGTGTTACAAAAATATAAATTAAACAAAGAAACAACTTCCTGTTCATTGTTTAAACAGTCACGTATGGTGAAGGTCTAATTAGCATTGACCGCAGCAGAGTTTATTTTTCTTTACAGAGAAGTAAAAATTTCAGACAAAGATAACGTTACTAACACTGATATAATTTTCCTCTACGTTAGATTTATTGATCTGGAATCCAGATCAATAAATAGTAAAAATTGCCTTGTAAAACTTTATCCAGATTCTGGATAAAGTTTTACAAGGCAATAGCCTATGCTAGGCTATCTAAACGTTAGCTTGCTAACTTGAGAGGCATAATGACAAGCAGGTTGGAGGATTGAAGAAAATTTATTATTGTTGATTTTTTTATTTTACAAATCAGTCAAAATAAATTTAACCATGCTCTGTTCAGCAAAACATGCGACACAGTATTTAGTTGCTCCCTGCTTCGTCTGTGCTGAAAGTGAAAGTTAAAAAGTTAATTCAAAGCAACTTACTGTATATTGTACTATATATATCTACCAATTTATTTTTCTTGCTAAGCACTTCTGGATAGATGCAAACTGCATTTCGTTGCTTTGTACCTGTGACATGTGCAATGACAATAAAGTTGAATTCTATTCTATTCTATTCTAAAGTGAACGGCCATGACTTGAAAATAGTCTTCATGTGCCCTCTGCTGGATAATTGTACAATTACAGCTTGTTCCAGCATTTTAGGGGTGAAAATTATAAGTATCGGCGCATAATGGGACAATTACCACAGATACCGATAGGTCCTCAAACGCATGTATCGGCCTAAAATATCGACCCCACCGTTATATCTGTCGGGCTCTAGTTAACACACCGTCTGATTTGACCGGATCCTTTGATTTTCTGTTTGAAGATAACATCAGATAATCCTCCCCAGATAACATCCTGGAGAAGGTGCTGAAATAATGTGCCGATCAGCTCTGTGAGGTGCTGGCCGACATCTTTAACTCCTCCCTCACCCTGGCAACAGTTCCCACCTGCCTGAAGACCGCCAACATCATCCCAGTTCCTAAGAGCTCTGCAGTGACTGGACTGAACGACTACAATCCAGTAGCCCTCACCTCGATAGTCGCTAAATACTTCGAAAGACTGGTCATGGCCCACATCAAAACAACCATCAACATCAGTGAGGACCCTCACCAGTATGCATACTGCAAGAATTGATCAACAGAGGACGCCATCTCCTCTGTTGTCCACACTGCTCTCACCAACCTCCAGCACTGGCTCCCCTCAGGGTTGTGTGTTGAGCCCCCTCCTGTTCACTCTGCTCACATATGACTGTGCACCTACCCATCCAGGCTGTCACATTGTAAAGTTTGCAGACGATACAACAATGGTGGGATGCATCACAAACAACGATGAGTCCAGCTACAAGCAGGAGGTGGAACACCTCCTGCCTGGTGGGCCATGACCTGCACCTAAGCTGGTGCAGGAAGAACAACCTTCACATCAATGTGATTAAGATGAAGGAGATGGTCATGGATTTCAGATGGAGTAAACGCAACTACCACACCCCCCACCCCCCTGAATATAGGAGGATATGCAGTGGAAGTGGTCTCCAGCTATTTATTTATTAACCTTTATTTAACCAGGGAAATCCCACTGAGATCACAGATCTCTTTTGTAAGGGAGGCCTGGGCCTGAAGGCAGCCTAACAAGCTACAATTACTTGGGTGTGCACCTGAACAACAACCTCAGCTGGAGCAACAACACCACCAGCCTGATGAAGAAAGCTCATCAGAGACTCTACTTCCTCAGACGGCTGAGGCGAGCTGGTCTGGAAGCTCAGTCCTCACCTCCTTCTACAGGTGTGCAGTGGAGAGCATCCTGTGCTCCAGCATCAACGTGTGGCATGGAGGCTGCACAGCTGCAGAAAGAAAAGCTTTGCAGAGAGTGGTGAAGGCTGCACAGAAGATGTTGGAGTCAGTCTCCCCACCATCACAGACATCTACACCTCCAGATGCAGGAAGAGGACCACCTGCATCATGAAGGACCACACTCATCCAGCACACACACTTTTTGCCCCACTCCCCTCAGGAAGGAGGTTGAGGAGCATTAAGTGTAGAACCACTAGACTGAGGAACAGCTTCTACCCTGAGGCTGTTAGACTCATGAATCTCTAACCAGAATAACCACTGTGAATATAAATCACTGTAATGCCACTTTGATTGGTGATATGAGCTGCTGCTTATCCATGCTGCTGATCTCATGCTGCTGAATATTTCATGTGTCTGTATTCATTTGTATTCATTCGTACCCATCTGCTCACACAGACTCATGTTCGTGCTGCTGCTGTTATGCCGTATTGCTTATTGATAGTGGTGTTTAGTGTACATCTTAGATCTTTTAGCGTACCGTTCGGCGCTCGTTTAGTTTATATCTTAGATCCTTATTTACCGTTTCTTTTTACACCTTATATTTTTGCTATTGTTGGATGTAACTGGGACCCTGTGTTCATAATTTTGTTCCACCTCATGTACCACATGTGGTGAAATGACAATAAGCCTTCTTGAACTTGAATTTGAAGAGTATGTTTCAGCCAAAAATTTCTCCTTCTGTGTCTTTTTTATTCTTTTAGGGAAACAAGTTGGTGAAGAAGCGATTTGCTTGAATCCAAAATGTGCTGAAAGTCACCAGTGGTAAGTTTTTACCTTTTCCTTTCTTCCTCCATTGGCTCTTTTTGCTTATCCTTCAGTTTTCTGTTTCTGTTTTTCATCCTTTGAATTTAACTTTTAAAAAGTAAACAGGATCTGATAACCTTTGTGTCTTTTTTTTCTGGAAGCTTCATTTTGTTGATGTTATAGCTGAAGGCAGTAAAAGTGTAAAACAGGAACTCTCCTCGGTCGACTTTTTATTCAGTTTAATTTCAGTGCACCCACATGCAAACACTGGATGGGGAAAAAAAATCTTGTTACTTTAAGAACTATGGTATATTGTTTTGATCCTAAAGTACAAAATGCAACTATTCACAAACCAGAAGAGAAAACAAAATCTAAAAACCTAAGTGGACCTTGTAAAACGCTGATGTCTGGATGGCCTTCTTCCTGGCTGGTGGGCTTCTTCCTGACCGATGGCCTTCTTGGTCATATTCCTGACCTGTGGCCTTCTTCCTGGCCGGTGGCCTTTTTCCTGCCTGGTTGTCTTTGTCCTGGCTGGTTGCCTTCTTCCTG